GGGTGTGCAATAGACCCACCTCCACGTAGTGCACCCTGGGCAACGTATACTCATTCGGCAAAAAAAGTCTATTAACTGGCAGTTGACTTCTGACTTCAAACTACAATGGCCCGACTGTATGCCATATTCTACCACTTCCATAGTACTCACCTCACCTTTTCTCTACCATTATGACTGTCTGTCCCTTTTACAACTGTGGATCTCTCGATTATACCCCCTCTCGAACTTTTCGTCACTTTGATGTTACTTCTCCTTCTCTCTGTGAAGCCCGAAGTCAGTTTAAGGGCTAATGATAGCTGTCAAACCGCCTGTCATTTGAAACATATACTTAGAAAAGTAAGCCTCTTTCCGATATCATTTACTTATCAAACCAGTATTATTAGAGGTCACTGGGCCACTTACCTTCACGTGGTGCACCCTAGACAACGTATACTCATACGGCATAAAAGTCCATTAACTGGCAGTTGACTTCTGACTTCTTTCACAGTACTCACCTCACCTTTTTTCCACCTTCGTCTTTGACACACTCTTCTGTTCACCTCCCCCCCCTCTCGACATTTTTCACATTGATGTTCCTTCCCCTTTGTGAAGCTTGAAGTCAACTAAAGGGCTATTGATAGCCATCAAAACGCATGCCATTTGATTTAAATAAATACTTATCAAACCAGTATTATTAGAGGTTATTGAGGTCACACTCCTACTAGCGGCAGTTAACTAAGTTTAAGATTCGTTACTCATGCAACAGTATCGTTAACACTTGGTAGAAGCACCCGTTTTCATTCAATGTCCTTAATTTATCGTGCATTCAGATTTCAGAGTTTGATAAAAGTGTATGAACTGAGATTGGGATGGTGCCCGCGTAAGTGCTATACCGAATCGCAGGAATGAGTCGCCAATGATAACTGGAACAGTAGACGTAGTAAATTAGAGATTTAATTTAAATAGTGGTTAAAGATCTTTAAAATATACGCACCAAACTGAATGGCAGCAAAAATAACTGTAAGGAGGATATTTCTAACTTATTTAAACAAGAAAAGTAAAAATTGAAACTGGAGAGCTCGCCACTAACTTTGTCATGTATAACAGTGGTACTAGACTATTTGATTACTCATAAACGCACACAAACGACGCCAAGGTTAAAGGGTGGATACTTTTATTCACACCTATACAATAGATTCCAATTAAAATACAAAGATAGTTGGTTATAATAGCTTTAAAAGCAGTTTTATTGAAAATCGATTAAAAACAGAACTAGGAAGGAAGGAACTCATGAGTAATTAAGTTATCTGATTTGAATAGCACATAACTAACTCTTTCTGAAAACTCGACCCTACAAGTGCCCTGAAAAGGCCCGTTTTTAGTGAAATTATCCCTTAGATGAAAGTTAATAAAAGTGAAAGCATTAATATGCAGCTAGAACGCACACATATGAATTGATCATCACATAAAATGAAACTATTCAGGGATAGCAGGTCATATAAAGGGCACACCGGGCATTATTAATGGAATGAATTCGATGGCAAGCAATCAATCACGTCGATGAATCGTTGTCTCAAATTGATTAAGAGGAATATTTCCATTTGTTCACTCGCCCAATGCTTGTTATGTTATTCTATAAACAGTTACACTCCAGTGTTCTTAAGCAAATATAAGTTTTCTGGACACTTTGGCCTTTCAACACATTGGAACCTTCTGAATTCCAATTATAATGCCAAAAAAGCCCTAATTTAATTAAATGTTCTAATGTTCTGAATTCAATCGATTAAACCCATAGTTAAGGCAAAGAAGGTGTTTATTTTTTACTTTCAGCTGTTATAATTTTAAAATGATGGCAAAATAGTTTAGTAATACAAGCAAAGTTATGAACGAATTATTAGTCTTGGAAATGGGAAAATAACTATAACTAGTGAACACTTAAAGGCTAAAATATGTAAGGTATGGAATTGTGTCTACGGAAGCCACAAAAAATATTGAATAAGGTTTTTCTTGTAATACTCGAATACTGTAAAAAGGCTATATCGACAGTATCATTATTTCCGTTTACGAATAAAAAAATAGTCAGTGACTAATTTTCATAAAATAAGTCAATACTCACAGTAAGTTCAAATTAGTACAAGTACCTCAAAGGATAACTATTAAATATTTGATAGTTATGGAAAGAATTATATTTAATTCCCTTAACTCTTTGAACATTTATTTGACCATTGTTTAGAGAAACGTGATTTGAAATTCATGATATATTTTGCATGAAGCAAACAATACACCTCGTGTACGATAAAAATGTTCTTGAGCATTATAGTTAAATTGAATTGACTCGAAATTCTTACATTAAAGTCAATGTTTAGGTTGACTAATATATCTAGTATAACGAAATATTCGAATTTTGGAGATGAACAAATTACGATTTGCCAATATATATAACTAAATGGCCATTGTCTGTTTTTTTATATATATAATTATATTTTGAGAAATTACCTTGTGGTGAATACATTACAATCTTCGATTTTCTTCAATTTTATCATTTCTTGACGATAGTTTTTAAAATTACATGGATACAGGGATCAAAAAATGCTGCTATTGAAAACACTTGGGCCCACTAGTCATCAACGAGTTGTAGTGGCTGCGATTGCATATATAAATCAAATAATAACCGCAAGTGGGTTCTAATGACAGGTAATTGGGGATCGTTCGCTATAAATATTCACAATTTCCTTTCAAATAGTGTTGGCAAACTTTCTTTAGTTCTAGAAATATTTTGCTTCAGAAATGCATGAGATGAAATAAACCATTTGAGTTAATTAATTTCATCATTTTATTCTTGCTTTACGCTTATTTCAAATTATTTATATATTATTTTCAACAAAGCGAGATTTTAAATATTTTCTACTGTCCAATAGGATTCACACAGCACATCATAACGTTGTTAGTCTATAAACAGGTGTCTGACATCGTTTAAACCGGATAATGTTATACAAGTTGTTCGTCTTGTTTTTACTCCTTCCTTTTGCTTTGGGGTAAAAGCATTTTTTTTTTCTAAAATTTTCCTTTAGTCAAAACTTATATGAAACTCTCGGAGTTCAACTTGGTGCCACCGAAAGCGATATCAAGAGAGCCTATCGAAAATTAGCGAGAAAGTACCATCCGGATAAAAACAAGGAAAAGGATGCTGAACAAAAGTTCAACGAAATTTCATTCGCTTATGAGGTTAGAATTTCTGTCAATTATTTAGTTATCTGATATTTTATAGTGTCTTTCCGTTCCTGAAAAGAGAAGGTTGTACGACGCCCAAGGCATCAAGGCATGCACTTCAGGGGGAGAAGGAGGAGATAACTTCGACGGATTTGGCTTTCCTGACATTTTTAACATGTTTGGCGGCGGTAATATGCACAAACATGAAACCGTTAATCGTGGTCATGACATATCTATCGAATTCTTCGTCTCTCTGGAGGAAGTTTATAATGGAGCTTTCGTTGAGACAGTTCGCTCGAAATCAATCAAGAAATCGAAACCTGGAACCCGTGAATGCAATTGCAGGATGGAAATGAAAACTCACCATCTCGGCCCGGGTAGATTTCAGATGGTTCAACAACGAGTCTGCAGTCAATGTCCCAACTTCGAGTTAGTTTTTCTTAAACTTCTAACTCCTGTCTCTCATAAACTGCAAATCTAACCACATTTCACTTTTAGATTTGTTCTCGAAGATCGTCCAATCGAACTTGAAGTTGAGCGCGGAATGCCTGATGGTCATCATTATAAATTCCGTGGTGAAGGCGAACCTCATGCGGAGGGCGAAAATGGAGACTTAACCTTTATCCTCAGGACGAAAAGGTGCGATTTCATTTGTTTAGACTTACATTATTTCATTGTATTTTTATTTTAACGTGGCTGTTTTATTTCCCTCTCTCTCTATAGACATCCCGTGTTTGAAAGACGTGAGGATGATCTCTTCACAAATGTCACAATCAGTCTTGCTGACGCTCTGACTGGATTCTCTTTCGACATCACGCATTTAGATGGTCACAAAGTAAATTTAGTTTCTGTTAGTGTTTTCGACGTTTCTACTTTTCCACTATCCAAGTAAATTGGTATATTTTAGGTCACTTTGAAGCGAGACAAGGTGACATGGCCTGGAGCTGTAATGCGGATAGCCAATGAAGGAATGCCCCTGTTTGAAGACGATACTCGTCGAGGGACTCTAATAGTGACCTTTGATGTCGCCTTCCCTCGGGATCAAACGCTGAGTTCCAGCGAAGCGGAGGCAATTAAGAGTATCTTCGGTGAGTCCACAAAAACCTCCAAAGAGACAGCAATTAGCGGAGTGCCAGAAAAATCTCCTAAGGGTCTCAGTGAAGGAAAGACTGCACCGATTATTTACAATGGTTTTAACACACAGAGTGCTGCTCAGAAACATCTGTCTAATATCTTGAAGTAGAAAATCTGTAGGTCTTTCAACAACTCCAAATTGCCGACTCTTTTGGGCCTTTACTCTCTCTCTCTCCCTCTCACATCTTTTATCCCCCTGTTTTTTTTTCTCGGCGCATTTTTTTCTGTCATTTCGAAAGGTCGTAAAATGTGTTATGTGTATATTTGATATAAATATTTCAAGTCTTTTACTTCTGCACCTCTCCCTTGTGTCCATACAAGTTTTCTTAGGTCTTAAGCCCATTAGGTTGCGGCTTATTTCGATACTCATCTTGTGTACAGGCGTTCTTCCCTCATCGTCTCGAATGAGAAAATGACTTTCTCCAATGGTATGGATGGATATAATGTGCAGTTATAGGTACCTAGTCCGTGACCTCTCATTTGATAAACTTGCTCTTTATTCGCTGGATCATTGGCCCTTAATGTTTCTCTTACATTAGATATAGAGTGATGAATGATGGAGCCACATTCCTGCCAATATATTAATTAATGTTGGACGGTACTGCTGATAATTCCCAAGGCCAGTTAGGAAAGCGTTTTTCAATTCTCGTCTTGGGTGCTTAGAGCACTAGTGGGTTTGGGCATTCCACTCATTGGGTGTAAACGGGTAGGCATTGCACCAGTGGCCTCATATTTTGCAGGCGAGTGTGTTAATCGCTTCATCGCGACAAATACACAAGTTATTTTACAGAATTGATTGAATTAGCCTGACCCAAATGAACAAGCTATTTAGATAAGCAATGACAGAGGTCTAAAATTGAAACACTTGAATTTTTTTCATTAATTTAAATTTGCGTTCAGAAAGTGCTGTTAAAATGTTTGACAACAGATCTGATATAACTTGCCTAGATGTTTTAACTACCACTTGGCCTATTTATGAACCAGTTAATTAACGAGATATTCCGGTACGATCCTTATTTAATTACATTGGCATGCCACACAATGAATTTCCACCTTATCTAATACCAACTATATTACTTAAACATCGGAAATCGATATCAAAGTTGATGTGCGAGTGATGATTAGTGAGTGTATTTAGTCATCTAATTGGCAAAGTAGAGCAACTCCACGTAAAATCCAATGTTTAGGATCTTTTTCAGTTGGCAAGTCCATTGCAAGTACAAAGTTAGTTGAATGACCAGTTGTAGACAAAACACCACGACGTTCGCTTGTCTTATAGACCGGTGTCTGATAAGTTCGTCTGGGAATCAGATCCACTTTCTTTATTGGGATTAACTGAATCTGTTGGATAGAAAGGTAGCCCATGTTAACGATAAGTGAGCAGTTTAGTAAAAAAAAGATGTAGAAGAAATAACTTTCATTACCACTGGAACCTGGTCATACAGGATCTTCGGAAGAGATTCATCTAATGTTTTTCTCTCCCTATTCCATCGCGCACCATCCAAGAACAATCCGCTAACATAGGCGCCTAAAGAATGGTTTCGGGTTCCATTAATCTAATCATACCATCATCTGGTGATTGCTCATAGGTCTTATCTTCCAGCACATCGAAATCGAAAGCCAATAAATCGATAGGAATAGCGTATTTTCGCGCGTAGTTCTGTTGGACTCCAGTAAGGAAAGCTTGAGTGAAAAAGAAGCCAGATATCCAAAATACTGGTGGCGCACCATTTTCATACCAGTTCTAGAATAACAAATAAGTTATAAGATGCTTGGTTGTACCTGGAAGAACTGAATTCTAAGCAAAAAGTCGTTGACATAGGAGCCCAGAGGTTTCAACGAAGGATACGATCTTCCCATCCAAACAGCTGGAATCTTGGATTCAAGGATTGATACAACCATGTTTTCGAGGTCAGAAGACATAACAATAAGACCTTTGATGGCTTTCCGGAGGTCTGTCAAACTGGTGCGAATAGTATCAAGAAGTCGATTGAAACGTGCAACTTCCTGAACTAGTACAGTGTTCATACTCTGCTCATATAGAGTTGGATACTTTCTCAGGGTTAGTTCATGATTGAAGTCTTCAGGAAGACGATCGAGAATACCCTTAGCAACCTCTTCTAAGACCTCCTCTTTTGAGGCTCCTGATGATGAGCCGCCTCTAGACTAAAAATAGATACATTCGGTCAATAAACTATTAAGTATGAAAAGTGGTTATCGTTGTCGAACCAACCCACCCACCTGTGTAAGAAGGGCACTATTAAATAGTAGACTGGTCTCCTGGTTGTCTTTGGTTATATCAGCATTTTGATGCATTCCAAAGATTTCGGGCGAGGGATTAAGTGGGATTGTTTTAACGAATTCGATGTACTCCTCATACTGAAAACAAAATAGTAGTATAATGCTCACTATAAGCAAGCCAAGACTTACTGATCTATCGGTTGGAACATAGTAGAGTCCACTTTCATCGAATTTGTAGTTAGGATCTTCTACTAATTCAGGACAGTAGAAATTTTCAAGAATGGTCATCAAAGTTCGTCGATCCCAGCTATCTGTAACACGACCTCCGTAATTGCACTCTCCCGTTAAGTATCGCAGAGCTGTATAGTGAACAGACTAAATCAGAAGGGAATAAAAAAATTGAAAGCACTTCTTACATCATATTGATTAAGGAACATATGTAGTTGCCTAGCAGATATTCGCAAGTCAGTTTCATTGAACTCATATTTATTATTCCATCCAAGTGGACCGAATTTTCTTCTCTCTTGAACAATTGCGTGGAAGAATACCAGACCATAGAGCATCTTTTTCCAGGTAACCTGCTTGGTACAAGTGGAGAAAAACTCTGGATCAGCAATTGGGTCACAAAGGTACGATCTCCAGAGATTAAATCTCAGACCCTTGGGTGGTTCATTTGTCATTTTAACACCATTCTGCAAGATTGTCACCGGGAAATCTTTACTTGGGTAACTAGTCAACCAGAGTCGGAAGTCTGGATGCGTAGTGTTTGGTTCGATTTCGTCCACAAGTTTTTCCAACGATGGCATCCATGATGGTGCAAGATGACAATTTTGCAAAAGTACCCATGTACCTTCTTTGACAGCTCTTTCCATCATATTTTGAGCGATTGGACCCTGTCCTTGACCTAGAGAAAGCGATTCGAATTTGGCTCCACCGAAGCCGATATCATCTGCAAATTTCAATAGAGTGGCCATAGGATCTGAACCAGGGGAAAGAACAAATAGAAGCGGAGTTGTGGAATTGGAATCTGCAAAGGATCCAGGTAGATCAAAAGGTGGTGGTTCGACGAATTTCTTTCCTAGATACTCTGTGACATAGTCTTGAATCAATGAGGTCATTTTATCCGGACGCAGAATACGGATAAAAAGCATTCGACCCAGAAAATCTGAAATCTCATCATCATAAGGTTCAGGAAGTTTAGCCTGATGTGGGTTAGGGTTATCATAAATCGCTTGATACTGATTCAATCGACTTGTAAAATTTTCTCTCAGTTTAATGAACCTAGGCAGTGCTGCCAATCGGCATAATTCATCCCATTGTTTTGACGGCAGCCATGAGGTCGGGTTGGGATAAGGGTTGTCTAAGCCAACACCTCCAGTAAGAAGGAATCTCCATTCTATTTGATCTATTTCCTTTCTGTGTTTTCCCAAGTTGATAGCCAGTAGGAAAGAGAAAAGAAGCTTGTCTTTTTCGAAAAGAGATCGACAGACATTACAATAAAGAGAGTATGTGATATATTCCCGTAGAATATCTAGACGTTGTTGCAAGTCTTCCGACTTGTCCGAGTTCTCGATAGCAAGATTGAAGAGATTGATAAACCACGTGAGCGAGTACTGATACATTGGATCAATATTGGCCATATCAGCAATGGAGAAAAATAGCACGGAGGTGTAGATAGCGATCGGAAGATAGCCCATTCGAGCTTGATCGATCTTTTTCTCTGTCTCTTCAAAGAATGCCTGTTTCTCGGCTATTTCATTGGATAGCTCCTTGGAGGAATTCAACACTTGAATAGCGCTCTCATCTTCCAGGATATTACCTTCTGATGTTGAAAGCACGGTGAGAATTTGGTCCTCCAGTTCCTTCAACTTCTTCTTATTTGCTGCTCCTTGAAGAATGAGTTTATTCTTCTCATCTTCGAGTTCAGGTCGTTCTCGTGCGACCACAATTCCTAGAAGTTGATCATTCAGGCCCTCACTGGTGATCATGAAATTGACTAATGTGACCTTTACTGCGATTTCAGGCATGTAGTGGGGATTTCGAAGCTGTTGAAAGAGAATAAATCCGATGAGTATTCAAGTGAAATGCTAGGGGAGGTGGAGAAACTGGGTTATGAAATATCGAAAGGCAAATTACACACAATTGGGTGATTATTTTATTAATTCTACTTACAAGCAACCGTACGTGTAAGCAAATGCAATCTAACGATGTCAGCCGACTATTTTGTCTTCCAATGGTAAGAGATTCTCTCAATGGCTGGTCATTTAAAAGGTTAGTAAACGGCTTGTTTATCATTACTTTTTCGAATCCTCAACGTGCAACTACCCAAGTCAACATGATTCTCAGAACTTGCGAACCCAAAATTGGTAATTAGGATACAACTAATGACGCCCATTTGGGGTGCGCGATAGACTTACTTCCAAGTAGTGCACCCTGCTCCAAGTATACTCATACGGCTAAAAATTCTATAAACCGGCAGTTCACTTCAAACTAAAATGACACTACCGTATGCCATATTTCATCACTTTCACAGTACTCACCTCACCTTACCTCTTTCGCTATCTTTGTGTCTGTCTCGTTTGCATCTGTGAATCACTCTTCTGTTCCCTCACCCATCTCGACTTTTGTGGCTTTGTTATTCCTCCCCTCTGCGAAGCCCGTAGTCAACCAAAGGGCTAATAATAACCATCATGATGATACAAATAACGCCTATTTTAACACTCATTTACATAATGCTAAATGGGAATATTTTCTAAAGAGATCATTTTAGAAAAAAATGTGTATGGTCCTTCTAATGTATTTACCACAATTCCCAAGGTAAGGAGTTTGAAAGCGTTGATTGAAATGGCGGAACATTTTAAATGATATAATGTGTTTTTTATGCCAATCTCTCTCTCTCTCATTGTCAGTGTTCGAGCACACAATGTTGAGTGTTTCGTTTGCAAATACACTTAAGGGGTGCTTGCTCACCTTTGTGGTAATGTAAAATCTGAAATCCGTGGAGTATTCAATGACTGAATCGCCTAGCTTGATGCACAAAGCTCCACCTTGTTTGAAAGTCTGTTTCAAAAGCAGCGACTCAAGCACTGGATCCAATTCTTCTCCAACATTTTCTAACAAAACTGGCACACCAAATTGGATACTATTCTCCATATGCCGCACAAAGTCACTATCGGATAGCTTCAATACAACCAGATTATTTTTCTTTTCCATATTTTTGATCCATTTATTGGCTTGTAGTTGCGGGTCTATCATAAGGGGCCAACGTCGTGCAGTTCTAGGAAAAAAATGAAACAATTTACAATTAAAAAAACCCCCTCCCGCCCTCCCCACCATTAGTGAATTAAGCTGAATAGAAAATCGACTTAATAACTTACGCCGTGATAATGCCATTTTCAATGGAAAAATCATCTGTCGGGAGACCGGCGATATTCCAGGCTCGAATAGTCACGGGACTACCAAGAGTACCAACAAGGCTAAATACATCTGAGCAGGGGATAACAGAGTTTTTAACCTTCATGAGCCAGTCGGCAGCTTGCTCAGTTCTAAAGCCTGGTGTAAAAGCACCGAGATAGGCGACCACTCCGCTTGAAACAAGAATATCGCCTGTAAGATTGACGTATTGCCCACCGAGAACCTTCGCATTATCCGTCCAACGTTGTTTCTCACCACCCAAACCCCCAATAAGCTGTTCCGCGCGCTCTAACTTCTTCGTGCAGAGGTCAACTTTGTTCTCCAATTCAACTTTCCTCTGCTTGTTGATATTCAGTTCGTTGGTTAGGGTTGCCAGTTTATCTTGTACATACCTGAGGGCTTCTCTTTTCTTATTTAACGCCTCCATAGCTATACTATACTCTTCCATTGCCTTTGCGAGGGCAGCTTTCTTGGGAGCCACAATCTTAGCCACTTTGTCATAGGCATCTATGGCTATAACCCATTTGCAAAGACCTTCACAAGCTGTCGAGGCGACGGCAATTCTTTCCGGCTTAAAATCTGGATTTGGAATATACTTCTCTCTAATTGTCTTGATAATGTGATCGGGAATGTTGTCTTTATCGTATGAAATCAAGTTGTCAAGAAATTTCATATCACCGAGAAGACGCTTCGATGGACCCCAATAATCATCCAATTTCTTTCCAGAACCAGAGGGATCATTTATTTTGTCTGGTTTGATGCCTTTCAACACACATACAGCCTCCATGACTAATCGCACTCCCATAGGGGGCGATTTCATGGTCTTCACAATAGCGATATCCTGAAAGAAGAACAAAGGATTAAATAAAGATGTTCATCAAGGAATCAAGGCCTCCTCCTTCCAGTGTCTGGCGCTTATTTTGTTGACATCACCTCGGATCAAGTTGAAAATTTGAGCGTACTTTGAAACTTAAATAAATCTTTAGAAAAACACTCTAGTCCGTGCATACACCCACCACCCACCAACCTCCCCCCCCCCACTACTTCCCCTTGCGCGCAAAGAGCACTTGCATGCCAATAATCAATTTGCACTCATGCACTAAAGACGCCATTTTACCCTCTCAATTTATGCGTTTGTTTTCATATTCTTCCCGTTCTTATTTCTTACTTATATTTCTTTTATGGGGTGTGCGATAGACTTACCTCCACATAGTGCTCCCTGGGCAACGTATATACTCATACGGCAAGCAAGTCTATTAACTGACAGTTGACTACTGACCTCAAACTACCATCACCCCACTGTATGTCATATTCGACTACTTCCACAGTACTCACAGCACATTTTTCCTAAATTTTCTGCCTTCGTCTTTGAAACACTCTTCTGCTCCTCCCCCCTCTCAACTTTTTTTCACTTTGATGTTCCTTCCCCTCTGTGAAGCCTGAAGTCAACTAAATGGCTAATGATATCTATCAAAACGCCTGCCATTTGATATAAATAAATATTTTAGAGTAGAACTTACAGCAGGTGTAAGTGTTTCCAGTGCCTTGATAGCTGCTTCAAGAATGG